GTGAGGGTTGGGGCTTGGCCGGCTGCGTCGACGATTCGCATGCCTGCTAAACGTCTTGACCATGTGGCAAGACCAACGTGCAGCTGTACCGGATGTTCATGGTATTGACTTACCTTTGTGCCCGATTACCCCCGTTTGGCGGAAGACGCCACCACCCACACCGGCTTATGACCGTCAGCAGGTCGACATGTGCTTGGTAAGATATAGGTCGTAACGACTTTCGGGTACTGTATCGCCACCTACGTAGTAATCTTAAAAGGTTGTATGTTGATGCAGACCTTGTGACCCTTGGGACTAGGTCGAGGCAACAGAGCCAGAAAAACGGTCGGAGCATGAAGTTCGATTTCGGTGTAGATTTGTGGGGACTTGCCTTGTTACCTTGTTTCTCGCACACAACATGGTAGCCGTGCTAGTTAGGCGACGTTAACAGGCCAATCCCAAGATGGATGGTGGGGAGGAGCACGGTTGGGGGGTGGGGGGGGGGGGAGGACATGGGGGAGGTGGTGGTGGTGGAGGAGGAAGAGTAGGGGAAAATGAAGCACGAGAAGGACGAAGAGCAAGAGGAGCAGGTGCAACAGCAGGAAAAGAAAGAGAAGGTGGGCTAGCGTTCATGACGGGAAGTAGTTGATACTCGTTGCACCGATGTGCTAGTGATGGAGAGGGCGTACAGATTTTTGAACGGCCGACGCTCAATTAACTTTGCAGCACCATCTGCACGACCTGCGGCTCATACAGTGGTGGTCCGGGCATACCGCAGTCCCGAGTAGTGCGGGTCCCGATACACGCCGCGGTAATCTCTTGTGACGGGATTTGGCTACAATACTAATATCTATGTGTTCCCCAACCCTCAATAGTGCGCTGTCCCAATGTACCGCGGTGATGTTTGCCTGTCTCTACACAGCAGTATATCGGGACCACCACTGTACATGTATCGACTAACGCATGGCCAACTTTGTGCCAGGACGGGGCGAATTCATCACGTTGAAGCCAATGCACGCTAGGTTTGATCTGTTTCTTGGGTACATTGTGGTCCTTGTACCCATATCCATATCTCCGTTGCCCATTCCCGCACAAGAAATCAACTGTTGTTAGCTTGTTCACCTTTTGTGGTCAAATACGTTGGATAGGGCTGGGCTGTACTGGGCGTTGGAAGTGGGCTGAGGTTTTAGGTAGGCCCAGGGTAATCTTTCAGAGATGGCGCTTGCGTCATCAACAGACCAATTCTTTGCTGTGTCGGACGACTCACGGCAGGCAAGAAGAAGCAAGCGCAAGGTCCGGGGTTCAGCCGAACCGCAGCGTCGCACAGCGTTTCGGCAGCCGGCAGCCGACAATCCAACCACTCTGAAAGGTGAACAGTTGTAGAAACGATCACTCTGGAGTGCGGGCATCAAGATCATGTAATTTTATTCCTTAAAGAATTTCAGTTTCTCTATTGGCTTTGTTTCCAAAATAACAGCCCTTCGTTTCGAGATCTACGGCTGAGTCGGCAAGTTTTCATTGCAGTGTTGATTTCAACAACTTTCTATTCAGCCTGCATGCCGCTCCCTTTTGTTGGACAGGGGAAGCTTACCAGTAAGGATTGTTGCGAGGACCCCACACCATGCCCCCGAACCATATTTCCTCCATAACCAATACCTTCAACAAACCCACCTTTGGGTCTCACAATGACAATATTAGCTGGTCGAAAGGATTTGCGGTGGACCTCATGTTGAGAAGCGTCCTCTAACGACGCTGCTGCGACGGTTGATGTGTCGCGTGAGATCGCCAGTTTTCGGTGGTAAGCCCGTCCAGGTGTCGGAAGTGGTCGACTCATGTGTTCTTGGTAGTCCGCTGCCGCGATCCCCAGCCCTGGCAGACATGTTCTTGGTGTCCACACCAGGAGAGTCTCCGTCTTCTGCTCCGACCCCGTCAAGCCCAAAGCATCAAAACATATGATATTATTGTTCTTCCCATGTTGAGGGCGCAGGGCAAGGCAGCAAAAAAAGCCATCGGGACAGACGTAAGTTGACGTCCGTCAATCAGCTGTCTCTATTTTACTTGGAGCCTACTTTGGCGCCTTGTCTATTTTTGAGTAGTTTCGGCAATTTCGCCGCTATTCCTGGGCACCGCAGTCGAACAAACAAGTTCACAGACCAACACACATCAGGCGAGAGCCTGGGAGCTGCAACTCGCGCATACCACACGCCCACAGCGGGAAAGAACCAGCAGAGACCACTCCGGTCTCTGTGCGTACAAGTATGAATTCTTGCAACGTCAACCCACACTAAGTGCTGTCGGTAACGAGCACGCCGGGCCAGCACCAAGAAGAAGAACTTACGGTAGAAACCGCGAGAAGGGACAACATACACATACGCCCACGCGTATATTTGTGTCGAGCTACTGCGGTCGTACCGACACCCAGGGATCCGTGCTATTTACATTTCGTCTGCACGCCCATCCTCTCGCCAAACCACTTGTCAAGTTCCGTGATGATGATGATGCTTAGGCATCGTTCACCTGTTGATTCTTTCATCTATTCGCTTTCTTCTTCACTCTTTCTTGACTTCATCTGGGGTATATTCCCCAAAACAATCATCATGTTGAACAACCCGCACGGCAGCATATCGACACGGTGATTTCTTTCGTTGCTGCCGTGGTGGCGATACCTTTGCTCTGGTGTCTCCTATCCTTCATTTGTTCAGAGGTCCAAGTTGGTAAAAGCGTGCCGCCCGTAGATGAAATGGGTTTCGCACATTTGTTGGAGGGCTTCGCGTGCGTAATTATACTCCAAAACCTCTGTCCCGGTACGTGAATTGTTTGCCATTTTGTTCTTACGTGGCAATGGTTCCACCAACTCCGAGTCACAGAAGTAATTTGGGGCCTCTTCTAAGTGAGTCCTCACTCGCAACATCCTCTCCTACCCCCCACCTTCGACAGAAAGGGAGTGGGTGGGGGGGGGGGGGGGGGGGTGTTTCGACTCGCGATGTGAATCCTTTGATAGGTCCTCGGCCATGCATC